GGCAATCCTCATACCCCAGACTGTCTCAGACCGAGTTCTCCATCCAGGCCTCTACCTGGCTCCTCATGGGTGCCGTCACCCTGGCCTGCAAATTTTTTTCATCGTCTCTGGGCATCTCTCTTTTCCTGGGTGCACCTGTGGCGTTCCTTAGCCCAAGCAAGCAGTATTGCTTCAGTACTGTTCTCTGGGTGCTAGTTAGAGAGGCCTGTCTGCAGTGAGGGGTCCGTCACTAACTGTGGCCACAGCTTGTCTCTGTTTATGAGTGTTCTAGTGGGACCATGGGAACCCGATGCAGGTCTCTGAGAACGGCAGTCCCTCTACAGGGCCTGGGAGGGAGGGGAAGAGAAGCTGCCCTTCATCTCGGGAGCTTGAGTGTAGCAAGAATAGGATGGAGGGGCAGCCTACGCCATGGAGGCAGGGAGCTTGCCTGACTGCAAGAGAATGGAACAAGAAGGCATTGCAGGTCAGGGGTGGAAGCTTAGAGCATGGAATGAAGTGCATGGCCAGAAAGTCTTGTGCCCCAACGGCACATCCGAGAGTTTCCAATACAAGTGCTTGCATGGAGGAGTAAGCCTTTGAAAAGGCCCGGGAAAGGCATGGGCCGGGCCAGCCACGGCAATACAACTTTGCTCTGTGTCTCTCCTCAGACGGATTTCAACGAGCTGGACTTGGAGACTCTAGCACCCTACATCCCGATGGATGGGGAGGACTTCCAGCTAAGCCCCATCTGCCCGGAGGAGCCCCACGTGCCAGAGAGCCCCCAGACCAACGCCCAGCACTGCTTCAGTACCATGACCAGCATCTTCCAGCCGCTAGCCCTGGGGGCCCCCCACAGCCCCTTCTTCCTGGGCAAGTACCCCCAGCAGGTGGAAAGCAGGAAGCTGGAGCCAGAGCATTGGCCCATGTCCTCCATCTTCTTCGACGCTGGGAACAAAGGGTCCCTGCCTCCATGCTGTGGCCAGGCCAGCACTCCTCTCTCTTCGATGGGAGGCAGATCCAACACTCAGTGGCCTCCAGACCCACCATTACATTTCGGGCCCACCAAGTGGCCTGCTGGCGATCAGAACAGCGAACCCTTGGGGGCTCTGCCACTGGGGCCATCACCGGTGGAGCCGCCCAACACCTCACCTCACGTCTCCATGTTCAAGATGAGGTCAGTGACAGATGCCAGGCTGGAGGAGTCTTCAGTACACACCCACCAGTGGGTGCTCTGGGGCCCCACCTCGGCTTCCCGCCCCACCATAGCCCCTCACCCTGCAGGCAGCTGGCACTCTACCTACCTAGTTTAGAGAACTGATATTTGAAGGCCAAACCCCCAGAACTCAGGAGTAAAGGGCTCACTGAGTACCTCAAACCTGGTGTCTACCTTCTGATCACCCCAAGGGTACTTCACTCACCTTAGGGTTCATCTTTGGGCACAGATAGGTATTTGAGTGACAGTTTCTCCATTCTCTCCACAATCCCGTGCTTTCCACCGGCCCGGGCTTCTACCCGAGAGCCTCTGCGGCATACACGCAGGCGCCAACATTTCCTATCTCACCCGCCACACCGGGTGCTCACTGGTCTAAGTCCCAGAAGCTGGGGTGTGTGGTCTATAGTGTGTGCCCTTTGTAAAAGCACCCCAGATGGTCCTCTGGGTGGGAGGCACTGAGCAGAAATCCTTGTAGAGACTGATGTCATCTAGCAGGACAGTCACCTATGAGGGCAGGACTGCCCGAGAATAGCTGAGGTAATAGACAGGTGTGTGGAGGGAGGTACGGGTGCCTGGATGCTTTGGCATCTCACCAGGTGGAGGAACAGAAGGCAGAGCCACAGCTGTTCAGGCCCTTTGGCACTCCACATTTCTGGGTCCATAAATCGCCTCCGTCATAAGTATTGGTCCTGTGAAGACACCAGGTGGGAGGCCATAGACTACTCCCTTACACCCTGCTCTCTCTTCTTGGGCTTGGCAGGTCTGCCAAGGACTTCGGGGCTCGCGGCCCGTACATGATGAGCCCCGCCATGATAGCCCTCTCCAACAAGCTCAAGCTGAAGCGCCAGCTGGAACACGAGGAGCACGCCTTCCAAGACACGAGCGGGGTAAGCCGCCTCCTCGCGGGGGACGCCATGGGCATCTCCGCCTTCTGGGCGGGGAGCGAGGCTAGGGCAGAGATGTAAACAGCTCAGGCCGGGGGTGAGCACCTCCCTGTGCCGTCTGCTGGGTCTGTGTGGTGCCCCCACCCTACCCCACCCTAGCCCTCTGCCTCCAACCACACCTCACATCTGCAGGGGGACCCTCCGGGCACCAGCAGCAGTTCACACTTGATGTGGAAACGAATGAAGAGCCTCATGGGTGGGGCCTGTCCTTTGACGCCCGACAAGACCATCAGTGCAAGCATGGCCCCTGGTAAGCAGGCCTAACCAGGGGTCCAGAGGGTTGGAGGCTCAGGGCCCATTCCCTGAGCCTTGTTAGAATGGGCTATGTCCATGCCATGAGGGGGCTCTGGGTTCTGCAGCTTCTGAAAAGACAAGGCAGGCTGAGAGCTACCGATCCCATCAGACGGCACCACATTCACCCTCCGGCTTGGATCTTCCAGATGAATTCACCCAAAACTCCATGAGAGGCCTGGGCCAGCCACTGAGACACCTGCCACCCCCGCAGCCACCATCTGCCGTGAGCCCAGGGGAGAATGCCAAGAGTGGGTTCCCGCCACAGGGCTATGCCTCCCAGTTCCAGGACTACAGTCCTCCAGGAGCCCCGAAGGTGTCAGGTGAGTGAGTGGGAGCTTGTACCATACCCAGGGTCTGCTGCACCACGGGGGGCCTGACCGGACAGGACGCTGGGAAGCAGCCACTCACGGCAGCTCTGCATTTGGATGACAGGCCGCCTTTGGAACCTCTGCTCAGGCCTCAGGAACTAATTATAGTGCATCCAGCCAGGCTGCATGAGGATGGATTGATTAGCCAGGACCTGCGTGGTGCCAGGCCCAGGAAGTGTGTGACAGTGACTTGCTTAGAGAATTTCTTGAAGGCCCCCTTCAGTGAGAATCTGAACTGAGAGAGAGAGAGGAAGGAGAAATCGCTCTCTCCATATGCATGGCCCCGGAGAGAGGGCAGAGCTACAGTTACTTCTGACCAACTCAGGCTAGGGAAGCTTCGGGAGAAGGAAGCGAGCGGCTGGGATGGTGAGGAGCCCAGGGCTGTGATGGACTTCTGAGGAAGACAGTTGCTCTGGAGTGGGTTCTGCAAAGACAAGCTGGCTGCTCTGGAAAGGCAGGCTGGAAGGCTTTAGAAGGAACCCTCCAATAAGCAGGTCACTTGCAGGCTCTTGGCGTACGTCTGTCTTTTCCTTAGCTCCTCATTGCCTCAAGTGCACACACAACATCTCTCTGAAAGCATGCACGGGGCACTCACTGACAGCAGGGTAGCTTGGTGATCCGGAAAGTTCAGCTATTGCCACGGAAACCCAGATGTTTTCCCACAGAGGCCCCTGCTTGGCACATACAATTTGTGACTTTGAGGCTGGGGGGAAATGCCAGAACCTTGTCTACAGCCTTATAGTTGGGTTCTCAGTCTGTGGAACCCCAGCAGCCCTGGGCTTGATATTCCAGTCCCGCTGTTTATCAGCAGGTGGGCGGGCAAGCCCGAAAGGAGAGAACCATGCGTCACTCAGCCCCTGGTACACATCTGGTCAGCAGTAGTCAGCACATGACAGGTTCCCCTGGCGGTTGAAACCAAAGCAAAAATAATTTCAACTTAGATCACTTTCTGACCATGACTGAAAGAGGAGGTGAAATTAACAGGGGGTGAGGCATCTGTTTATAGGAATGCCGACAAGAAGGGGAAGCAGGTGGACCCCAGGAGGGAGAGGCCACCGGGACATTGCCCTGTGCCAAAGCTACGGGACCCCTGTTGCTGCTAGCACCTACTTTGGATCTCAGCACCACTGAGACATGTTCTCTTCTAGCTCCATCCTCTGAATGGGGAGTAGAGCCCAAGGCAAGATGGCTTTGGTACCTGACATTCCCGGCCTGGCATAGAGACGTTGTTCTTGCCATGGGGGCCCTTCTCCCTGATTGTCTTCAGTGGGGGAGGCACTGTGCCAGCACTTGGGTCAGGCTTTTAAAGTCCCCTCCCCTCCCTTTCACCCCACCCCCACCCCTTCTTGCAGGCATGGCGAGTCGACTGCTGGGGCCATCGTTCGAGCCTTACCTGTTGCCGGAACTGACCCGATATGACTGTGAGGTGAATGTCCCTGTGCCGGGAAGTTCCACACTCCTGCAAGGGAGAGACCTTCTCAGAGCTCTGGACCAGGCCACCTGAGCCAGGGCCTGTGGCCGGGCACGCTCCTGCCCTGCCATCTCGTCTGCCAGCTCTCCACCTTCTGTCTGTGTTGCAATTAGGTATCTCTAACACCAGCACACTTCTTAAGAGATGTACTGACCTGGCCGATCTGCCCAGGTCACCAAGCAGTGGCCTTTACCTGACATGCTCACTTTATTATCCGTGTTTTCAAAATACGTAGTCGTTTTTTCCGCCGATGAAAACGTTCTGAAATTTTATAAGATTTTCCCCTCCCTTCCTTGAATGATTTCTAATTTATATTCCCCAAAGGTTTTTTTCTCTCTCACATTCAGTATCCCACTAACAAGCACGGTGGACGTTGGCTCTCCTTAGAGGAAGCCTGGGCTTCGTTCAGCTGAAGTGGTTTTGGTGGTGGTTGTTGCCAAAGAGAAAAGGATTTTGCTTTCCAAGCTCCACTGTGGATTCTCTGTTTCTCTCTCTATCTCTGTGTGTCTCTCTCTCTCACACACACACACCCCTAATCACCATATTGTAAGATTTAGTGTGCTTTTTAAAAAGCCAGCTCTTTGCTCTGATTTTGATATGACTTATGGGGTAAAAAAGAAGCAATGTGAAAGGTAAACTCCAGGGTTACCTGTGAAGCCACGCAGTGGCTTTCCTGAACCGTTTGGTGGCGTCCCCCATCACACCCCAGGTTCAGGGGATTTTTTTATTATTATTACTCAAAAGTAAAACTGAGGGTTTTTTTTTTTAAAGGAAAATTTATATCTGGGTTTAGTGTTTATCATATATATGGGGTACTTTATAATATCTAAAAACTTAGAAATGGAAGCCTGCTCACAAAATCACTTTTAAGATCTGTTTAGGGCTGTTGATTTTATTTTTCTCAGTGTTCTGGACACTGTAGAACTGTATAGTACTCCCACAGGCCTGTACTAACACCGCTACAGATCTCTTTTCCTCTCTCTCTCTCTTTCTCTCTCTGGTGACTTTTTGCTTTTGTGACGTGCCATGGGTGTGGCAAACAATCCCGGGAGTGGAGCCACTAAGGCAAGCAAGGCAAGCTGTCTTCTCTCATCTTCTCTGTGTATTCTGTACGTATGCATTGTGACTGCCGCCACGAGGGCTCGGGGACGTGTCGGGGATGGGAAGGAGGCGCTTTTCCCTTTTTTCAGGTCGTGTTCCTCGCCCTTCAAGCGCACTGAGCTATGTGACTCTACCTGTCTCCCTCATGCGGCACGTTTGGGTATTTCCACAGCCACCATGAGATGGTCTGAATGGGGATTCACAAAGCAAGTGGGGATCCACGAATAATACAGTGACCCGGTCCTTGGAGCTAAACTCGGAGCCGGTGCCAGGTCTGACCAGCCCTGCACCCCGCCACACCCGCAGCTTGCAGGGCAGATGGCCCTGCCAAGCCTAGGTGTAGCGCCCCCCTGCGGGCAAGCAGCAGGCAGACCTCTGGGGACAGCCTCTAGCGGAGGTCTCTGTCACATGAAGTGACGTGAATAGGTAGAAAGCACTGAAAATAGTATTCCCAGAGCACTTTGTAACTCACTGGGGAAGAGGGAGGCCACCTTTGGGGTGTGTGATACCAATCAACATAAGATGTTGCTCACTTGGGTACAATAAAACTTTAAAGACACACAAAGCCCATCAGGCCAGAACACAGTAAGCCTAAAGAGACTTACTGCCCAAACCAAAAATAAACTGTCAAAGTCAATCTACCTAAAATGACCTAGGCACGGTGTTGTCCAAGTCGCACGTCGGTGCGCGGTGTGGCCTGACGCACGGTGACGGAACTTGAAGGGTTATTGACAGGTGACTGCTGGTATTTGATTTCTTGTGTTGTCGCCTCAGCATTACGGGCATTTTCCCTTTGCAGTTTAACTGAAAACACTCTGAGAAATACTCCGAGCTTCATATTAACCCTTCCCTGTCCATGTAACAACTTCATGAATATTATTGCGTTGTCAAATTCCTACTGATGACATTATAACTGTACGGGAGCTTAACTTTATAAGGAAATGTATTTTGACACTGATATCTTATTAAAGTATTCTGATCCAATTCCTGCTGGTGCCTCTCATTTCCTGTGCCAATGGAAAACGACGACGCTCTTACTCACTGCCACACAGAAAATGAACATTGGAACCCAGCTGGACCAGATGATTGACGGCAGCCAATGGGAAGTCTGATAACCGAAGGGAAACATTTGCACCTGGCTAGTGCCGAAGTCCAGAGGTCATACGCTGTCTTCCGTGTGTCTCTGCAGAGACCTACGGGCCCTTTTCTCTGTAGGCTAGAAAAGAAGGGCAGAAGCCGTGGTCTCTACCTTCAGAGATCCACAGGAGGCACTGAGGAGCGTGCTGGTCCTTGTGTCTTCACACTGGGCATCCAGCAGAGGTTCCGAGAAGGGCATCTTGGGCCAAGGTCAGAGAGGACTCCACTTCAGTGTGAGGTCAAGGTCTTCCTAGGTAGATTGTAGGATAAGAGAGAAAAAGGTGACTGCAGCCAGAGACAGAACACAGCAGAAGGCCAGCACTAGGCATGGACCTGATGGGTTCCCTATTCCAAATGTGACTTCTGTCAAAGTCACTCTTCTGGTGATCCAACAGGCATTTTTCTGGAGTGATGGGGGAGGGGCGGGAGAAGGCCAGCAGCATCCCGATTTTTATAGACAGCCCTATGACCAGCCGCCCCAGCATCCCCTTGTACACCTAATGTTTTGGGTTCGTTATCACCTCGGTAGTTTCCAAAGACCTAAGGGATGCTGTGCATACACATCTTGCGGATGAGACCAGGACTCAGTGACTTTCACATATCCCAGCCCATTTCTAGGAGACATACAGCTCAAGTCTAGGGCTGTTCTCCTCTCGAGCCCCAAAGCTGGCTAGGAGATATTAATCTTATGCTAGAGCCCATTTACATTTTCAAATAGAAAAGTCCTGTCTGAGCTGGAGAGCTGGCTCAGTGATTAAGACACTTGCTCTTGCAGGAAGTCCTATGTTGGATTCCCAGCATCCACGTGGTGGCTCACAACTATCTGTAATTCCAGTCCCAGGGTACCTGATGCCCACTTCCAACCTCCACAGGCACCAGACATGCACATGGCACACATAAGTACATGCACACAAAACACACATACCACATTAAATAATAAATAAATCTAAAAAGAAATTTTAAAAAAATAAATGATACCCCAGTCGGTCTTAGTTTCACTCTCGAACTTCTGTTTTTTTTTTTTTTTTTTTTTTTTTTCTGCTTCTGGTCCCCTTTTCATCTTGACTTGGTTTCTGGACCTTGAGTTGGATTATCTGGACCCTGCCAGGCTCTTCCTCCTCTTCATCCACTGTCTCAGGCTTCCTGCAAACATCACTTGTTCTTTTCCTAAGCGCTTCTGAGAACGACACACTTCACCTTGAGGACCAGATCAACACAGAGCATGAACAAATTCAGGACTCAAGCCTGGAGGAGCACTCTCCTGGTCCCCAGTGACTTCAGGGAGCCTGAGGGGCCTATAATGCTGTTCTGGGGCAAAGTATTTGGCCTCAACCATACACCCAAAGCTGTGGTTGACCCTCCAGGCCCTGGTGGGGTGGGGGCAGTGTCCAACATCTCTGACTTCCAACTCCAGCAAGCAAGCAAAGGATGTCATTGTTTCTGGTGGGTCAGTAGGAATTTAGGTGGTGGCGCATGCCTTTAATCCCAGCACTGGGGAGGCAGAGGCAGGCGAATCTCTGTGAGTTCGAGGCCAGCCTGGTCTACAAAGCGAGTTCCAGGAAAGGCTCAAAGCTACACAGAGAAACCCTGTCTCAAGAAAACCAAAAAAAAAAAAAAGGAAGACTGGCTTGACTCTTCCCGGTTTCATATTGTGGGTTAGGAGCAGGTGTCTGCCTGCATGTGATGCGCACAGCCCCAGGACCAGGCCCCTACACAGAAGTGACAGCCATTGAGCCCCTTCAGTACCTCCTGCATGTAGATACGTTCTTTCTCAGTGGTTCATGCTATCTTGGCATTGCTCTAGTTGGTAGCCTCCAGATTAGAACTCTCCCTGGGAGGGAAAGTCAGACCCGAGGTTGGAGCACCAAGAGATTCTACTTGCCCTGTACAGTTTGGCCAGCCCCACCCCCTTCAATGCAGAACAGATTGGTCATATGCTGACCTGTGGCTTGGCTAAAGATGTGACGTAGACTCATTTCCTTTATGGTGTTTAAGTTTCAACCATCTCCTGCCTTTTTCTCATTGCCTGCCCAGCCTGTGCTTTTGTGAAAAAGAATGTATACTCTGTAGGAGAGTGGTCAGCTTAGCCTGTTCTTTCTTCCCTGAGGCTGGGGTAGTGTAGGGTCATGAAATGGGGCTGTGCACAGACTGGCTGTGGATGCTGACAGGAGCCTGGAGAGGCTTGAACCCAACCTCGTTCTCTAAGTTATCAACTTCTATATTTTATAGCTAAGTAGACTGAATCCCAGAGAAGCAAAGCCTGTAAGTGACTTGCTTACAGGCATACAGAGATTGAGAGGCAGAGCTGAGCCCAGGCTAGCATCATAGGGGCAGGGACCAATTTCTTAGCCTGTAGACAGGACCTCCTACACATTACCTGTTCCCCAGTATGGTCTCCTCAGTCTCCAGCCTCTTCCTGTTCCTCTACAAAGGGTACTTTCCAGTTCTACAATGATCAAAATGTCAACTCTGCTTCTTCAAAACGCTCCTTCAAACCCAGTGACTCGCAAGGAAACTGCTTGGCCTCTCTGTAACCCCTGTGAAGTCTCAATTCCTTCTACAGATGGAACCCCCTTTGGCATCACAGGCCAGGGCTGGTGATATAATAGGTAGTTGGTGCTTTAGTCCATGAGATGGGATGAACAATGGTTATGAGAGTAGACAAGGAATGTAGAGGTCTTCTGGACAGGGCCCAGGGCACTGAAATGAGTGGGACTAAGAAGGAACAGTGAGTGACAAGACTCCCCAGGAGCCACCAGGGAACAGGAAACAGCCCATGAGTACACTAAAAGCCAAGACAATGGCACTTCACCAGAGGGGAACAGAACTGGGTGGGCCTCACACCAGGATAAGGGGGTAAGATAAGGAGAACAAATGGCCTCTAGAACTTGCTAGCATGCAGGACATTGTTGGCCTTCACGGGAACAGTCTGGGTGGGGAGCTGAGGACAGAGCAGCTGAGTGAGCAAGCTGGAGTGGGGATGCAAGGTTGGCAGTACTATACAACTCTCCCAAGGAGTTCCCTGGGAGACTTCTTGGGAAGGGACGCAGGGGAAAGGGTGGGGCTGGAAGGAGAGGTACTTCACAGGAATGAGCGGGCTTTCATTTTTAATTATATAAACATAGTTTTACCATTATAGAGAAGTCCTAGGAGTGTTATATTTTCTTGCCCTCTGCTCCCCATTTGTTAACATTACTATGATATATATATATATCATATATAATATATATTGTATATTATGTATGTCACAATTGATGAGCCAATGTCAGTACATTATTTAAAGTTTGCACTTTATGGACACGCGAGATGACTAAGAAGAGCACTGGCTGCTCTCCCACAGGACTTAGGTTCAATTCCCAGCACCTACATGGTGGCTTATAACTCTAACTCCTGTCCCATATGATCCGACACCCTCTCTGGCTTCCACGGAGACTAGGCATGCATGTGGTGCACATGCATTCATGCAGGAAAAACACCCATACCCATAAAATAAGCAAATAAAATTTTAAAATATTGACAGTCAAGTTTGTACTTTTATTTCTTTAGTTTTAAATCTAACTTCTTCTTGCCCTTACCTCTTTTTTTTCTGTTTTAGTATTCCATCCAAGGCACATTCCATTGAGCAAGCCTGTGTCCTATACCTTCTCAAACTTTGCTGTGTTTTTGGTGACCCTAGCATTTTTGGGACACATGCTTTGCAGAACATCCTTTAATTCAGATCTCTCTCTTGTTCTTCTGGTGGTGGGCATCGGGAAGGGGACCTCAGAGGCTAAATGCCATTCTTATCACCTTGTACCAAGGGTCCATGTCATCATCATGACCCCTCAACTGAGGTCATGTTCATTAGCTCTCCCAACAGTAAACTCGTTGGTTTTTCTGGGGGGTTGTGTTTGCTGATATTAGGATGGAGGGAACACTTGATAAAGGCAGAAAAGAGAAGAAATGTTTGCAAGAGCCAAGATGGAGGAAAGATGGGGTGGGTGCTGAGAGAAGCTGGGGTACCATGGAATGTGGGGGGATGGCTCTGGATAGAGGCCAGGGCAGCGCCTCACTCTGAGAGAGGGACAGCAGAGAATACAAAGGGGACACAATCAGGCGGAATTAGTGATGTGAAGAGGATGAGCTAGCTCTGGTCTGGCTGTTTCTACCTCCAGGGAGCAAACCAGGATCTGAGAGAGAGTGGGGCTGTCTCAAGTTTGAAGAGATGCAAGTGTGAAATAGTATCAGAAGCTTGGGTTGATGGCCAACATCTGGAGTATAATGCAGTGGCCAACATCTGGAGTATAATGCAGTGGCCAACATCTGGAGCATAATGCAGGTCACATGTGGACCTATTGTCACTGTTAATGTGTCTTCCTCCAATTACACCTTCCCATTCTACTGAAAACAGAACGGACAAGGACTCGAGTCCGCCAGGGTGAGGGCTCAGCGGGGTGGGGGTGGGGGGGACGACTTCATGTTGCAGAGAGGGCCCGTGAGATGGCTCCGTGGGAAAAGGCACTTTGTGGCCGAGCTGGCAGCCCAAGTGAGTTCTGTCGTGGGGGTCCAGTTCGATCCTCAGGCCCCACGTGGTGGGAGGAGAGAAGTGAGTTCTGTAGTTGCCCTCTGACCCCCACAGGTGCACCACAGCACAGTAACCCCTGCCTTCCCATCACACACACAATAGACCATTTTTTTCAAGTGAATGTCCCAATAAGAATGTATTCCAACGGACTCTGAAATCCAAGTTGTGTGATGGGCAAAGAAAAACAATTCAGAGGTGATGGCCAGTGAAAACCAACAGTGGGATTAGTAAATTGTAGAATTCTTGGGTCAGTTCACAGTTAAAGAGAGGGAAGCAAGCAGAGGAAAGACGATTTCACACATATTAACCACAGGATACTTATTCTAAAGAGGTGGAAATGCCAAGTTCATACAAATTCTGCACACGGATGTCCAAGCGGCATTTTTCACAATCCCCAAGAAGTAAAACAGGCCAGCACTTTAACAGGAGTGCACGCAGATCACAGCAGCTGGGGCGCAGCCGTACAGTGGAATGGATGCTCCGAGCACTAAGGGGGAGCGTGCTGGACTCCAGCAACAGCATGGGGATCCCAAAGGGTTAGGCGCAGGGAAAGAAGATGGCCGGAACAGTGCATTCGCCCACATTCCATGTCAGCCACACTCTGAATGGCTAAATAAATAAATAAAACTAAAATTGAAATGGAAACCAGGTCTTTGTCAGAGCACAGGGGTAGGAACAGTTTGAACTTAAAGGGGCACTATGAGAGAGTTCTTTGATACGTTGGAATTATTCCATGTGCTATCTGTGATGATTGTGAGGATTTATGCACACACACACACACACACACACACACACACACACACACACAAAAAAAAAAAAAAAAAAAGGGATTTTTAAAATGTGTGAACTTAAAAAACCAAGATCGAGATTTGAAGTTTCACAAGTGGCTGACATAAATGGAGGTGATCTGAGGGAGGCTTGCCCAGGTGCAGGGGAGAGGAGAGGTCAGAACCAGGGAGGGTGGAGGCCAGGACTAGCTGATCTGAGGAGAAACCACTAGTGAGGAGCTCCGGAGACTGCAGTGCAAGGACCTGGAGAGTGGAGGGCAGGGGGAGGGGGAGGGTAGCAGTCGTATAGAACCATGGGGACATGGACCAAGTGGTGGCCAGTGGCCTGCAAGGCTTGGTCTGTACTGACTTCTGAGATAAAGAGCCTTGAGGAGCATTGTGAATCATTGCGGTGGTCTCTCAGAGGCTCACGTCCGGGACAGACCTCTCCTCAAGCCTGGAAGGTCAACCTTCAGATCCTGGGTATCTGTGGAAATTTCCATGCCTCCTTCATGTCCTATAGCATGTAGGAACCACCATACACATGCACTCTGCACACGTGGGTTTGTGTTTACCTTGTTTTCTAGAAGAAGCAAGTATAAAAGTTGCCAAGGTAGCTCACCCCCTCTCTGTCTGATCTGGGCTTAACCCCTAGGAGGGGGCCCCGTATGTGGACACAGAGAAAAAGGACACCCTTGCAGCTGGGAGACCCATTTGGCTCCAGACAAAGGACACTTCCCCAACCCTCATTAGCCTGGGCAAAGCGAGGGTAGCTGAGCGTGAACATTGACAATGGTTCAGGAGCCTCATGAAGGGCCGAGGCAGGCCTCCAACATCCAACACTGGAGGATGAGGATGACTCAGATTGGGCTGGGTTGGCAGGAGCAGGTTTGGGAATGCCAGAATCTGTGTGTTCCTTCCTGCCGCTCGAATCCCAGAGCATTGGCTGCATGGGCCAGTGTGGCTTCCAGCTGAGGGGGACCCTGATGGAACACTCAGAGCCACTCTGCGATGAGCCCAGGTGGTGGGGCTAGTGATGGGCACTTTCTAGCTAAGTGTGGGGGTGGGGTGAGGGTTACGAAAGCTGGCAGGAGAGCAGGACTCATTTATTTAA